ATCAGATGAATTTATCGCTGATTCATTTTCCATGAATTTCTATTCTACATATATGCAAAGTCGTACTTTCAACCAAGCTGATTCATAATAATGAGCTTATTGTCGCAAAGCTATAGCCGTATGATTTGATCCGTACAGAATAATTATTCGACAAATAATGAGACTCGTTTAAACAGAACACGTTTACCGACAAAAATTAAGAAACATGTTGTACAAGCGACGTAGGATAAAGATTTTTATTGTGTCGATGAAAATATTAATTTCATCGTTTTAGAATTTCTTAATTTTTAATTTTTATTTTATCTTTCTTATTTTCTATTTCTACAATTTCTTTTTTATCTTTTTTCGTTTCTAATTTTTATTTTATCTTTCTCTATTTTCTATCTTGTCAATTTCTTTTTTATCTTTTTTCATTTTTATTATTTCTTTTATTCGTCGCATTCACTAAATAGAATAATATTGCAATATAAGCAATGTGTCGTAAGCTTCGCTATAATATGTACTTTTAATTCAATAAGACGTACATTTATTAAAATATCAAATTTTACTCATTTTACTGAAATGTTAACGATACGTAAAGTTTCTTTACTTTTGTCGATAGGTGTAAATCGGTGTGTCTTGACTAAACTGCGAGCTTGATGTATTTAATTGCATAATGTATTGACAAAATTATACTGACATTGATCGAAATCCGTATGTAATGTAGGAAACAGCGAAAACATTGGAAGAACCGATTTACATAATTATGTTACTCTCAACTGACTAAAATCATCAAAAGAAAAAATACAGTTTTATTGAACCTCCATTTCTTTAATTGATGCAAACAATTTTTATTTTGCATAGAAAGAAAATTTTCACGTTTTATAAAATATTAGACTAAAATTTAGTTTTACATAACCTTCAAAAGTACTTAAAACATAATATCAAGTGGTCTGTCTCAAATGTCGTGCATAAATTATGAGATGTTTAATTACAGAAATATGTAGAATTGTAAAACGAATTTATTAGGGTCATTTAAAAGTTTATACTCCATCCATACTCTTAATATTATCTCAAAATGGCTAACTATAAGAAAAAGTTCTGATTTCTTTTTTTCGCGAATGGTTATTTTGACTTAGCCTCTTGAATTATTAATCACCTAACATTTAAATTTTCTTACACAATTACTGTCTCTCAATGTTCTCTACCATTTTTATGTCCTCCATCATTAGAGGTCTGGAACTATTTTTGTCTTAATTGCGTCACCGCTTGGAACGAAAGTAACATATACGTTTTACATAAATTATACCGGAGTTCGTTGCCTATGAGATAATTGCTTGTTATCTCCATAGTCACGTAAAAAATATTAAAGACCATGATATCTATCTTGGGTAAAATTATGCTTGAAGTTCACGTCCTATATCTTCAAGTTCGTGTGAATAATTTCCTGAGAAGACGCGGGTCTATCCTCGTTGAAGGTTATCAAATGACTGGAGGCGTTTCATGGTAAATTGATGATCTTTCCTGTCAATAAATACAATCATTGTTTGATGATTCATTGGTCGATTCATCGCAAAATCTATTCTATGAAATTCTAATTACATGCTGATTCTCAGCTATAAAATTCAAACATATATATAAATTCGTACTGGTCTCCACTAATGTTTCTATTTTTTATTATTTATTAAATCTAAACACTAATATTGTGTGTTTGAATTTTATAGCTGAGAATCAGCATGTAATTAGAATTTCATAGAATAGATTTTTAGTATATATCAATTGTACTTCTTAAATTATATATATAAATTATTATATAAATAATATATATATTATATATATATATAATTTAAGAAGTACAATTGATATATACTAAAAATCTATTCTATGAAATTCTAATTACATGCTGATTCTCAGCTATAAAATTCAAACACACAATATTAGTGTTTAGATTTAATAAATAATAAAAAATAGAAACATTAGTGGAGACCAGTACGAATTTATATATATGTTTGAATTTTATAGCTGAGAATCAGCATGTAATTAGAATTTCATAGAATAGATTTTGCGATGAATCGACCAATGNACGAATTTAATCTCTTATCTGCCTCCCGTATTAAAGTAAACTTTATAATGAACGCGAAAAAATTCATATTGAGATTTTCAATGGGAGATAATCACGCTTATTAATAAATCCAAGAACCAAGGGCACAATTCTTGGCTACCTTCGCTTACTGGGTTATGCGTGACATCTTCAAATATTTTATTAAAGTGCCACTTTATATGTTGAAATATTAAATATATGCATTTCCCATGCTCTATTTATAATGCAGTACACGAACCTGTTCCATTTTATTTAATATTCGGAAGCAATTCGCCAATTTGTAACACGAAGATTTATTTAACAGCTAAATTCACTTATATTATAGAATTTACATCAATAACACA